TTGAAACTGAAAACCATCCATATATAAGTGTAAAGGCGACGTCCCTACCTGACGTTTAGTATAGTGGATTGGTGCACCCGTAACCATCCACGGTTTTAACCTTCATTCGGGGATTTTCGTATCAACAAATACCATGTTCATGTATTTTACTATTTATTACTCACGATAGCGCCACACGTACACGTTCACCTTCTCGTCGTTGGCATCCTAACCAAGAAACATCGATTAGGCAATTTTTGGCATAAACTTTTTCTACATTTGTTTTAATATTAAGATCTCGGGTTCTAGTCTTCATGCCAAACGAGCTTCAGATGATATACAACTGACTAGCATCGGTGGATACATTTTAATCAAACTGATAAGGGATTGCTTACTTAAGTGGGGTCAAGAGTGAAGAAAGGGGTGTAGGGGTTTACATACAACTGAGTGGGAATTGTTTGTGACTGAATCTTATTGGTCGTTTATCAAACATTTACTCAGGTAAATGGTTACCAAGTCATGTTAATTTACCGGACGAATATAGCAAGGACCAAAAATTTTACCCGGTAAGAGCAAAGTTAAGGATCGAGAGACTACCTGTTTTTATGAATATTATTGTCTTTCAACTACCTGTTTTTATGAAAGAAAAAAAGACAATATCAGTCATGATGGATTTTCTATCTTAAATAATGTATAATCACTAGAGGTGTTTGTGGTGCCGTTTGATGCAATTTTGGATCAAACCGCAAACAACAACACATATACGGTTTGAGCATTTTCCCAAACTGCAAATCGCCTATGTATCTCAAACCGCAAAAAGAGCTTCACGAAATGCGATGCGGTGCAGTTTATGCGGTTTGTACTTAACGCACTTTACGCCTACAATCTAACAACTAGTAAGATTAAAACTTCATTATAAAATCAATGATAACGTGATCGCAAGTTTAAAAAATTAATAAGTTATAGTTGATAGAGCAACAATGAAGTTAAATGAAGGCGATTAAAGTTTGAAAGTCTAAGTAAGTCATCGGTTATACCTAAAAATTGAAACGGTTTGAAAATTGCAACTTGAGGTAAACTAGGGCAGAAGCCCCAAATTCATGAACTAATCGTAGATGTTTGTTTAAAGCCTAAAAATAGACAACGAATTATTGGGCTATAATTTATTAATATTATTGATCAAAATCCAAAAATTTAGACTTATTAGTGTACTATGGAAAAAATAGATTAAAGATATTACATAAATTAACAACTATATATATATATATATATATAGAGGACTAGAGGAGTGATCATATGAAAACCGCCTTCATTTATGTAAACCGTGTAAACCACCTTCATCTGTCGATTTCATTGTTTAATCTTATGAAATTTTTTCAT